TATATTCTTGATCAGGACGACAAGCCGAGTCGATTGAGCCCTGTCCGCCTGTTTGTCCGTATGTGTGAACGCGTGGATCTCAGCATCTATAAGAGCTAGAGACTTAAAAAATATTCGATAACTATTCGCATTAAATTGTTATCGAATAAAAACATTATTGAAATGCAGTAAATAAATTATATCTCGAACGTCTTAAGAGCTAGAGCCTCCAAATTTTGTATTTAGTTTTATGTATATTTTATGCAATTTTGATTTTTGTTGAATTTTGGATCCCGGCTCCAAATTTCCCCAAATTCTTAACATTTAAGTTCAGTTGGAACTAGGGCCATTATGTGACGACGTTTGCATCTCAACCAAGCCAATAGGATTTGTAGATCATATGCTGAATATTTCATTAAAATCTATTAAGTAAACAGAAGTTATTTGGCCGTTTGGCCAATTTGCAAAAGCACATGTCAGCAGCGTCACGCGCACGCATTTTTCCTATGCGTGTGCATACATACATTCAAATGCGTGTATTCTTTTCTATTCCAAGAATCGAAATTGCGAATGAATACTGCTTGAATTATCAACTGCTACTCAACTCTTCTTGCAAGAGGTGCAGTGGCTGCGTGGGTAGAGGCGGCGCTCGTATGCAGCTAGGCCCAGATTCGAGACCGGTGGAGATGAAATATTTTTAATTGTTTTAATTTAGTTTTTTTTTAATTATGAAGTGGCGGTGCTGGTAGAGTTGGTGCACGTTGCGCAAAACATCCGGGTTCGAATCCTGATCTCTTAATGCCGATTTTTATTTGTTTTCTTTTTTTTTTTGAATACTCTATACAAACTACGTAAAATATTAATAAACGCAAATAGGACTGGGATCATGATATCTCCTTGTGGGGCACCCCGACTAGAGCTTTCTTACTTGTTTTAAATTACCTATTTCAATGAGGGTATAAAAATATAATAAAAAACTTGATTTCGCCGCCAATTGAATCATCAATTCTCCTATTTGTGTCATTTCACTACTTGGATGCCAAGTTGGAATTTCGATACTACAGGTTCAGATTATCCAAATTATAATGCGTATTTTCTGATGACAGCTTTACGACCAGATACACTCAAACCAAAATTTTGTCAACTCGCGTGGCTAAAAAGCACATACTTATTAAAAATTATGTAACAAACAGAAGGAGCCGCGACAGATCTTACAAAGTATATATATTCTTGATCGGAATGATGAGCTGTCTGGCCGCAGCGATTTCGTAAATATGTACTATGGAAATATGTACTCGTGCTTACTTTAATTCCTTATTGTCTATAAAAATTCGAAAAATTGACTTAGGGTTAGCTTAGGGTAGCTTGTAAATTTCGGTAATGATAGCAGAGCTTGTGTTTATGCGTGTGTGTGTATGTGTGTATGTATTATATTGTATAAAAGAAACGTATAATGAGTGGAGTATCAGCTCTTTGCAGGATTCAGGGTATCTCCTCATCGAATTGTCTCGAATAGAGCACTCTTACATGCTTTGAATAAGAAACTCATCTTTACCGTATTTTGAATGTAAAGAAAGAGGTGGACCAATCCTTAATATTCTTTATTAATAATGGAAACTATGAGTACGACTCTTCCATTCCGATTTCCGAATATTCTTTCAATATTCCAACCTGTTATTAATGACATCTTGAATGAACATAAACAGAAATTTTGTTCCATCTACATTCAGTTCCCCGGCTTTGTCATATCCTATAAAGACATTAAAACAAAGCCAAACCATAACGATGATGGAGATAGTTAATTATCGACAATTTAAAATATTAAAAGCTCCATTTTTAGGGTTAACAGGATAATACAGAAGGAAGGGGATGGACGCGTTTCCCAAAAAAATATCATCAGAAAAACTCATACCATGAGAAATTGGTAGAAACCTTTAACAAAATAAAAATGTACTAGTATTCAAAGAAGTAATTCTCTCCACTACCCCGACCCAAACAAAGAATTTCAATTCCCAATTAACGGCTCCAATGATGCAATGGGTGCCGTAGTATCCCAAGGCAATATACATACCGCATTTCTCTCATGAACGCCTTCGAAGGCCGAAGAAACCTATCCAATTAACGAAAAAAAGTTTAGCTGTGGGGCTCTCTGATAGCCTTAAAAATTACTTTTACTGTAAATCAAAAGTAAAAATCCTTTGTATCTTTGTATCATTGTATCTTTGTATCTTCGTATCATTGTGATTTTGTATAAATAAATGGCAAAAAAAAAGAAACAAATTCAAATGAACAATGCTAAATGCATTGATCAAATCGAATGCGAATCCGAATAAGACAAAACTCAAGCGAAAACAAATGATAGTGAATAAGTGTAATGTAAACGAGAGGAAGCGTTTTGAATTGGGCCTTGATCTTGATCGTGGTAAGAAAAAAACTGTTGCACTTCACTTTAGCCTTCCTCATTTTTTTATTTTGATTGCTTGAATAATTCGAGTGTCTTCGGCTTTCCCAAATTTTTAATTTCTCTGTCTGCAATAGCGATGATATACTTTTAGTCCATAACACCGACGAACAAAAAGATGTATATTGAACAAATTGAATGTATTTTATACCAAAGTACCCTAAACAATGCGCTCATACTGAAAACTCAATGTGTAAAGAACAATAAAACAATGTTTTGTTTAATAACTTCTGTGTTACGTAATGGAGAATTTCGGGGTTCGAACAGACTAGATCGACACAGATCGGCTTCGTAAATATATATCCTTTAAAAAAAAAAAAACAAACTTTGAATTCCCATTTTCAATGGGTTCAAGGTATAACAAGTAACAGAGCGGTAGAGAGCAATAGAACAGACTCCAAATATTATAACCAGTACAATTTTTTATTTATTTTTTATCATTATACTGGGCTATTTATAAAAATTAAAATTCTTAGAATTTTTAGGCTTATTATATTTGAATGAATTAATATATATGAATATTTTTATTATTACACGTTATTAAAAAATTCAATATGCATAGCATAAAGAAAAGGCGCGGCCGGTGAATGATGTTTAATGATTCGGTGTATTTCCTAAACTCTTATTTAATATTAATGGGCTAATATTCAAACTTAAACTTCAAGAAGTAATGTGAAATAATATTTTTTTCTTATATAACTTCAACATGAACTTTAAACTTGATATTCAAACGTCTTGAATTTGTAATTATGACGCTAACTCTGATCTAAAGGCTTATTTTGCAGAAACTTTTTTAATACTTATTGTGACATCACTATTAAATTAATTTCGAAGTTTAGTTGACATGCGATTATTCAATATATTTGTTGTTAACTTATTTACATATACACTGACGAGCAAAACTGTAACACATGTTCAATGTTCTCACTTATTTTATTATCACGTATTATCTTTTCTACTTTATGCACGATTATGATCATAGTCTTGTTTTGTTAGTGAAATATTTGGCTCTTTTATTTATAAATTTGAAGACATTTGATTAGCAATAAGAGAAATACAATAGCAAAGAGTAAAAAAAGTCAAATGTTACAGTTTTGACCTGCAAATATTTTTAAACAAATATTTTTATTAAATTTTTTTTAATAACGGGTCCACAGCCCTTTTGATTTTTTGAGGTTGTTTATACGGTTTGGCATAGTTTGCGTGTAGCGTCGCACCATTTCAGGTGGAATCGAGTACCAAACGTCCTTCGTTCTCTCTCAAAACTCCATCCTGCTATTTGGAGGGGCCGCATATTTCGCAAGCTGCGATTTCAGATGACTCCATACATTTTCTATGGGATTCATGTCTGGAGATTGCGGTGGCCGCTTTATAGTTTGAAACTTTTGGTTCAATAACCAATTTTTCACCAAATAGGATGTGTGCTTTAGGTCATTGTCTTGCAGAAATATGCAATTTTCAACAGCCAGACCCATGTTTCCAATGACTCCTCCCAAATTTTCTTGCAGAATTTTTAGGTATTGCTCCTTACGCATTATCCCATCGATTAACAGTAAGGGCCCAACTCCATTTGTACAAATACAGCCTCAAACCATTATGGACCCGCCACCGTGCACCGCACTGTATTTGCCGATTGGACTGTGGGATTCGTAGTCCAATACCACGATCGTCTGTCTGACTTAAAACAATTAATTTTAGTTTCGTCTGACCAAATAACCTTGAAAAAATTTTTTTAGCATTGTTTAAGCTTAGTATTTGTAACTTACGGCATCCCAATCAGCTAGAGCCCAATTTTCGTGCATTATAGCAAAGTTTCTACGCAAACTAATGTGCCTTTTAGCTAGAAATGGTTTCTTTTTTCTTTCATTGGCCTTAAGCCCCAATCTGCCGAGACTGCGACGGACTGTCCACTCACTGGCATTTAAATTTAACACACTAGCCGCTTTTATTGGCGTAAAGTCGCGATTGCCTGTAACTAAGTTAGCCAAGTGGCGCATGTCACGTTGGCTTAAAAGTCGCGGTCGGCCTCCTTTATTGATTTCAATGTTTTCTGAACTGTTTTTTTTTAACACTGCACAGTCATGTGGCCAACATCAAATTTATTAGCCACTTTCCTAACGGATTCGCCCCTATCAATAATTCGATTATTTCCTTTTTCTTTTCATCAGCCATCATAATTATTTTGCAAAATGACTTAAAATGATCAAGGATTAGCGATTTAAACGAAAACAAATAAGCTTTAATGGTAAAAAAAAGCTTTGAAACAAAAGTAAATAGGTTTTGCTCTGTGAGTGCAAAACTGTAACATTTGACTTTTTTTACTCTTTGCCATTGTATTTCTCTTATCGCTAATAAAATGTCTTCAAATTTATAGATAAAAGAGCCAAATATTTCACTAACAAAACAAGACTATGATCATAATCATGCATAAAGTATAAAAGATAATACAGACCGTTGAAGTGAGAACATTGAACATGTGTTACAGTTTTGCTCGTCAGTGTATATATATTTAAATTAAATTCAAGTATTATTTTAATATTGTTAAAATGATTTGTTTTAGACTGGCTGTAAATAATCTACATTACGTGAGCAATGTTTTGGGTATAAAAGACCCAATACATAAGCAAAAAATTTCGCTTAAAGCTATGGATGTTGTTCTCTTTGGACCGCCTCGAGGTAGGTGCAAATAAAAGTTTGCACGTTTATTTTTATAGTTGGTTAATAGTGCGCTTCATTATTATTTTCAGAAACGGGTACTCGCTGGAAGGACTATATTCTTGTCACTCTTTTATTGAGTGCTATAATAGGATGTTGGTATGCTTATCAGCAAAATAAAAATGCTAAGCGACACTTGCGTCGAATGGCGCAGGACATGGAAGGACTACAACGGGCAGAACAAAGTCTGCAGGAAATGCAAAAGGTACTTTACGGCTTTGCTGTTCTGAACATAACCAGATATTTCACATTTAATCTGTTAACTTAGGAATTAGAACTAGCTCGCATGGAGCAGGAAAATGTTGCAACGGAAAAAATGGATCTTGAAAGGCGGCTTAAAGAAGTGCCTTCACCGAGTTCGTCAAGCTCAGATCTAGAGGTACAGCAATTAAAAAAAGAAATTGAGATGTTACGCAATGAATTAACTCGTGCTGAATACGAGTTGGTGGATAATTGTTGGACCCCACCCCAGCAGTTGCAGTCATGGCTACAATACACATATGAGTTAGAAAGCAAGAATCATCAAAAGAAACGTATTTCTGCGGAAAAGCAACTTCAATCCGCACGGGAAGCATGTGAAAAGTTACGTAAAAAGCGATCAAGCTTGGTTGGCGCGTTCGTTTCAACGCACGGAAAGAGCATTGATGATGTTGACCGCTCTATTGTTGAAGCACGTAATGCTCTTGGAGAAGTAACTAACGAATTACAAGAGCGCCTTCAACGTTGGAAACAAATAGAAACATACTTAGGATTGAATATTGTCAACAATAACGGATTATCTTACTTAGAAAATGTCCTTTATGGTCGTAATGGTGGTATTAACAGTATTGTTGGTGTTAATTCCACAAAAGGATCTAGAGGTAAGGTTCAGCTTTAAATGATATTCAAAGTATTTCTGAAATGTCTCTATTTGTAGCAAGGATCTCTTGCAGCACCGACGATCTAGACGATGAATCAGTCCAAGGTAAGATGCATTTTGAGAATTTTTCACTGCTTGCAACGGAGTAACGTTGTTACGTTTGACTGGCAAGACAGTACAGGAAAAATCTCCATTGCGGGCCCAGTATGTGATTGACCAATGGACATATTTTTAAACATTTTATCATGTGTAGCTATTTCGTTATTACTTACAACCATAAACCGATATTTTACTATTAAGAAAACCTGCCGTAACTTTAAAATGGGCTGTCATTAGGACGATATATTCATATAAAAAGAAATTTTAATATATGTATTTATGCAAATGTATGCATTGATTTGTATATATATATTATTTTTTGAAATATTTTGTTCAATTCTTAAACTTCCTAAATGTCATAATAATAAAACTTAAGTGGCCAATCATTTGTTCCACGTATATAACATATTTAGTCTGTATATATATTTTCCTATGAACTATTTAATTACTTCCATAATATAATGGGAATATTTTGTGTTTCTATTCTATATATTATATTACGGTAACATATTGGATTAATGTCTATATTTATCGAATTAAATTTCAAAAGTGGTATTGTCAATGTAAAACGTCAAACTATTGAATGCCGCAAACATTATTAATACATGTATGATGATTTTTTTTTGTAAATACAGATATGTTTACGTAGGGCAGTTAAAAATAAATTTTAAGCTTAACAATAAAAATCATTATATTATACATTTTAAGCAGAATCAGAGATACGATGTAATGTGAATTTATGCTGTTTCTTTTCAAACCATTAATAAATACATTTTTCAAAAGGTCGGGCTTACCTTTTTTATAAGCAAACACAGCACAACAAAGAATCCAAAGCAAATACAATTTTTTTAAAGAACAAATATCAATTAATAATACAATGATATACAAATAAAATAAATACTCATATAAGAAAATATATTTATAATTTTATTGTATATATATATATATATATTTATATATATATATATATATATATATTGTACATATTTGTTTCTGTTTTACTCTTATATACATATATGTAGAATATATATATATATTTAAATATTGTATAATTTAATATATGTATATAATAGTAAAATATTATTTCCATCTGCAAATTTTCGTGAATTTAGTCATATATTAATGGCCTGAACTACAGTAAAGTATTATGATTTTACCGTAAAAGAGCCACCACGAACGGTAAAGACAAGTTCGACATCCGTAATGTCGTTTACTGAGCTAAAATTATTTATAAATATGGTCAATATCTTTATTATTACCTAAGTTTTTAAATTAACAGCGCAAACATGTCATACTTCATAATCTAATACATTAGTTATATATATATATTATTAGAATAACACATAATTAACAACGGTGATATAATATTAAAAACACTAGGTATCTGTATGAAAATTTCGATAACGTAAGTAAACGTGTGAAAAACATTAAAAAACACGTTATATCACATATGGTGTTCAGATCAAATACACATTGAAATATATGTGTGCGCTGTTTTCTTCCACATTACAAGTAAATTAATTTCTTCGCGATTGAGACTAGCCGTGTACTCGACGACACAAAGAAAATCTAGAGTAAGTAAAATTTTTTTGTATGTAGCCACGTTATCATACGCGCATCGAACTACTGTGCAAAACTGATTTAATTCCACCCTGTCACACATAGGTCCTGATCAATTCGGCAACCACTCGGCGATGCAAACAGTGGATCCCGATAATTAGAAATGGCCAGACATTTTTGACTACTTACTGTTTTACGATCAAAGATACTATGAAGGTCATCAATGGTTATTGTTTAATATCAGCTTTGACTTGAAAGTTTGTTAATATTTGATTTTCATTTATATTTGAGTTGTGTGGAAAAAAATATTTGGAATTAATTTAGGGAACAGCATTTTTACGAATTATGTATTTAATTTCAGATGCAGATCAGTTATCGTTGCTGTCAAACTGACCTTTAATGCTAAAAATCAATTTAATTAAAGAACTACAGACCGTTCAGAATAGACTACAATAATAATTTCAAGTTAATTATGTACTCAGAGCGCCTACTGCAGGCTGCACCTCCGGGCCTCTGGGTAAATTACTATAAGGCGCCTCATCTCATGAGCGGGACTAGTTTTGCATTTGGCAATGCCCAACAATTATAAATCAATATAACTTTATAAATTCATGGAATGAAACTTAGTAAAGTCCCATAATCATTGCTAAAATCGGGTAAGACATTTTTGTGCGTTCATATAGAAGTCTGCAATCTAGTAATCTGAACAATCAAAAAGTCCCCGGCCAGATAAAATATTCCTAGTCGATTGACTACGTCATCGAAGGCGATGTCCATTATCCACAGGAATTTTTAAACATCTGAGCCCTTTGCCGCCACACGAATTGATATTTCAACTCGGCATTCCACGCATGGTTTTGAGAATTTTACAAGCAATGCAATGAGATTGCTTCCCAAGGTGTTAAAAGACAATTTAGTTGTTGTCGATTGCGAGTGGAAAGAAAATAACAAAAAGGTTTAATTGTTTCAGGGAGACTTAGTTTATTTATTTATTAACTGAAATATTTTCTTAAGAGCTAAGTATATACACTGATGAGCAAAACTGTAACACATGTTCAATGTTCTCACTTATTTTATTATCACGTATTATCTTTTCTACTTTATGCACGATTATGATCATAGTCTTGTTTTGTTAGTGAAATATTTGGCTCTTTTATTTATAAATTTGAAGACATAAATTTGATTAGCGATAAGAGAAATACAATGGCAAATAGTAAAAAAGTCAAATGTTACAGTTTTGACCTGCAAATATTTTTAAACAAATATTTTTATGAAATTTTGTTTAATAACGGGTCCTCAACCCATTTGATTTTTTGAGGTTGTTTATGCGGTTTGGCATACTTTGCGTGTAGCGTCGCACCATTTCAGGTGGAATCGAGTACCAAACTCTCTCCCACTACTCCATCGTGCCATTTGGAGGGGTCGCATGTCTGGAGATTGCGGTGGCCACTTCATAGTTTGAAACTTTTGGTTCAATAACCAAATGGGATGTGTGCCTTTGGTCATTGACTTGTTGAAAAATGCAATTTTCAACAGCAAGACTCATGTTGCCAATGACTCCTCCCAAATTTTCTTGCAGAATTTTTAGGAATTGCTCCTTACGCATTATCCCATCGATTAACACTAAGGGCCCAACTCCATTTGTACAAATACAGCCCCAAACCATTATGGACCCGCCACCGTGCACCTCACTGTATTTGCCGATTGGACTGTGGGATTCCTAGTCCAATACCACGATCGTCCGTCTGACTCAAAACGATTAATTTTTGTTTTGGCATTGTTTAAGCTATTTGTTTGTAACGTATGGCATCCCAATCAGCTAAAGTCCAATTTTCATGCATTGTAGCAAAGTTTATACGCAAGCTAATGTGCCTTTTAGTTAGAAATGTGTTTTTTTCTTTCTTTGGGCTTAAGGCCCAATCTGCCGAAACTGCGACGGACTGTCCACTCACTGGCATTTAAATTTAACACATTAGCCGCTTTTATTTGCGTAAAGTCGTGATTACTTGTAACTAAGTTAGACACGTAGCGCGTGTCACGTTCGCTTAAAACTCGCGGTCGGCCTCCTTTATTTTTATTTATTTTTTTTTTTTAACGATGCACACCAAATTTGTTAGCCACTTTCCTAACGGATTCGCCCCCTAACAATAATTCGATTATTTTCTTTTTCTTTTCATCATAATTATTTTACAAATTGACTTAAAAAGATCAAAGCTGAGCGATTTAAGCGACAGTAAATAAGCTTTAATGGTAAGAAAGGCTTTGAAACAAAAGTAAATAGGTTTAGCTTTGCGAGTGCAAAACTTTTAATTCTTTGTCATTGTATTTCTCTTATCGCTAATCAAATGTCTTCAAATTTATAGATAGAAGATCCAAATATTTCACTAACAAAACAAGACTATGATCTTAAGCATGCATAAAATAGAAAAGATAATACCGACCATTGAAGTCAGAACATTGAGCATGTGTTAGTTTTGCTCGTCAGTGTAGCAGCAGTACCACTAAAATATACGACAGAGAACTGTTATATGTACACTCATATACCGATAATCCCAATTTATCTGGCCATTCCATTCAAACCAATGAACTCCATGTTGGACTCCTGCGAGTCCAGAAAATCAATTTATTTTCTGCCAAAATTAAAAACATCAAGTATCAGGTTCAAGAAAGCTCTAATCAAATAAAGCGGTATCAACGTTGTCAGCTCCAGAACAGTAACAGTAACTAAAACTTTCCAAGATATTGATTTTTGCGTTTTGTCAGAAATGGCCCTTTTGGAAATAGGTATATAATCTATATGTTTTCGTTTCAGGGTTAATGTCACAATTTTCATGTCTAGCATCAATAATATTTAATAAATAACAGCACATTTACAAAAGACTAGGCGTATCCAAATTTTTATGTCAATGAATACATAAGCTTAACAGTAACATATAGCATAGAAAAGAATACACGCATTTGAATATGTGTACACACGTATAGCAAAAATGCGCTTGGCGCTGCTGACATGTGCTTTTTCAAACTGTCAAACGTTTTGTTTAATAACTTCTGTTTTACTTAATGGATTTTAAAGACATTTTCAGTGTATGATCTACATATTCTATTGGTTTGAAAATGCAAACTCCTTTACTATTGGCCCTATTTTCTACTGAACTTAAATTAAAAGAATTGAAGGAAATTTTTAACAGGTATCCAAAATCCAACAAAAATCAAAATTGCAGAAAACATACATAAAACTAAATTTAACATTTGGAGGCTCTAGCTTTTAAGACGTACGAAATATAACTTGTTAACTGTATTTCGATCATGTTTTTATTCGAGAATACAAACAAATTCGCGTGCTTGAATTTCAAATATCAATCAGTATAGGGTATACATATGTATTTGTACAAAGTCTTAGCTAGGAATGGAACTTTCGTCTTCTTAGCTACAAGTATCGAAAATTTTACTTTTACCATAATACTCTATTGTCAAGTTGGCCATATTATCGTCAGTTAAAGCATTTTACA